ACACTGAGGACAACTGAGGGACTCATACACAACTATTACAAAAGGTGAAAGCTGATGCTCAAGAAGGCAACACAATGCATTAGGAGCAGGGGGTGTAAACTTTTGAACAGGATGATGTGTAAATTCTTCTCATTTTGTTTAACGATCATATTTTTTCATTTAGTACTAGACTACAGAAGCTACATAAATACATGTTTCCCAGAAGACAAAATAAGTACAATTTACCCTGATCATCAAATTCTCCTGCACATTCTTTGGTTTTCCAGCATCTTCTGCATTTTTGAACCCTTTCCAAAAGTGACTGTATGATTTTGAGATCCATATTTTCACACTGAGGACAACTGAGGGACTCATACACAACTATTACAAAAGGTGAAAGCTGATGCTCAAGAAGGCAACACAATGCATTAGGAGCAGGGGGTGTAAACTTTTGAACAGGATGATGTGTAAATTCTTCTCATTTTGTTTAACAATCATATTTTTTCATTTAGTACTAGACTACAGAAGCTACATAAATACATGTTTCCCAGAAGACAAAATAAGTACAATTTACCCTGATCATCCCATTAAAAAAAGTTTACACCCCCGGCTCTTAATGCATTGTGTTGCCTTCTTGAGTACCAGTAAATGTTTTCCCCTTTTGTAATAGCTGTGTATGAGTCCCTCAGTTGTCCTCAGTGTGAAAAGATGGATATCAAAATCATAGTCACTTTTGGAAAGGGTTCAAATATGCAGAAGATGCTGGAAAACCAAAGAATGTGCAGGAGCCGGGGGATTTTTACGAAGAACAGCAGACAGTTGAACTGTTCAGGAAAAAACAAGGGACTTATGAACAACTATCACAAAATATAAAAACAGTCGTGGATCATCCAGGAAACTACACACAGTATTAAGATTCAAGGGTATGTAAACTTTTGAATGGGGTCATTTTTATAAATTCAGTTATTATTTTGTCTTGTGGAGAATATGTGAACATCTGTTATGTGAAATAGCTTATTCAGGACCGTACTAAATAAAAAAAATAACATGCAATTTTCATGATCCCTCTTATTTAGTTTCAATTATTAACATTTTGCACATTCTGCAAGGGTTATGTAAACTTATGAGCACAACTGTATTAAAATACTACATATAAAAAGAGGCCTGCCTGAAAAAAATTAGCTTGCATAATATAATAATTTTTTATTCTTGTTTTAAGCACAAAACTAATAAAACATAATGAAAAAGAAGAAGAAAAATATACTTAAATCAATATTTACAAATGTCTGGGTTCAATACACGATGAATCTTAAATGAATCATAGACTTTAAATATAAAAGACGCTTCTCAAACATCTCAATGTTTTTATTTGTTGTCATTATTTTTTTTGGGGCACTTCATGGACGGAAACCAAAAGATTGCACGTAACAATCTTGGCAACAGTGCAAAAGCATGTTCACATTATGTACAACACAAAGTAAATCAAAAGACTGAAAACATCCAATCCAAGAACACAATGACGTCCATAATATTTAATACTCATCCACTTGAACGTACGCAGTTTGAGATTTTTGCTCATGGACGCAGAGTTTTGTAGTCAGATAGTTTGAGCCAATCAGCTGAGCTGTAAACACCATGTGACTAATTATTGACGTCATGACAACATTGACTGGCTGATGATATCAGAAGAATGTCATCAGTCTATTTCACAAACAAGAGCCTTCAAAAACAAAGCCAGGTATAATGTCTATTTAAATATTGCTTAAATATATAATTTAAATATTGCTTTCAGAAAACTGTAGCTCGTCAGAGTCCACAGCTCATTTTGAAAAGTCATCAATAGAGAATGGTGCATTTCACAGTCATGACACAGAATGTCCAAACAGCATTAAAGAACCAAGCAATAACACTGGATAAAACAAGTACGAACCCACCAGGTATTCGATACATACCTTAAGAAAACTCAAAAACATCTCTAAAGTCAGAACAACTGAACCAATACACACACAAGCACATGAAAAAATCACTGAAGGAAGAAGTAACTTAATTACGGTGTTCTGCATGTTGGGATCTAAATTGTTAGATGCAATTACAATCATGATTATTATCAAAATGATTGTGAGTGTCACTCCGAACAGTGCATTGAGCACAATCACACACAACATTGTGAGTTCAGCACCTACCGCACAAAACAGAAATAACAGGAATAATTCTCGGACATTCAGTTTTTTTAACTCAAAGGATAAACCTAAAAATGCAAAAGCACCGTTTGTGACTCCAAATGCAGCACAGCATGCTACAAAAACATCAGACAAAGTCCTTACACTAGTGATTGATCCAAGAGTCACTCCTAAACCTACTGTAAATATAAACTCTGTTCCGATTTTTTCTTTGTTACTTGACTTGCGCATTGGTAGATACTTTATAAAGGCAGCCGCAACTGTGGAGCACAGAGCCAAATTTAGTGCAAAAGCAACATGTGGACTCAAAGCATTTCTTAAAGATGCCATAAATGTCACGAGTCCAGCTAAAGATGCCACAAAAATTAACATTGTGTGTTTCTGTTCAGTAGCCAAAACAACCGCAATCAGTGAAATGATCAGACTCCATCCGACCACTCCTAAACTGTCACGCATTGCAGATGAGACCTGACTTTCTCCAAGTTTGCCGTCTATTTCTTTTAGCCTTTGTAAAAGCTCCAGCCTTTCAGCTTCTAACTGTTGAGTTTGATTCAGTGCTGTGTAAAATTTGTCACCATTGAGCCAAACTAACTTGTCTATTTCTGCTACGAGAGCTGCTCTTCGAGCAGGTTTTGATTCAGAGTCTCTTATGACGTGAAATCTCCCTCCACATGCGTTGATCATTTCTCCAGCAATCCCTCTGGACGCTCCTGTGAAACGTTCCTGCTGATTTTGGAGCAGAAGAACAATGCAGTACTGCAGGACTTCTGCTCCCAGCAGCTCCTGGGCTCGTTTCACAATATCACACTGTTGTTGATCTTCCAGATTCAGGAGCATTAAAACGGCGTGAGGTCCTGGAGACGAGAGAAACAGCGCTGTTGTGAAGGTCTGTCTCGCTGTGTCCTCCTCACAGAGGTTTGGTCCAGTGACCAGCATCATTCTACGAGCCTCGTCTGTGATTACTGGAGTCTTTACAAACTCTCTGTCCTCCTGTCCACCGTCTTTCCTTCCTGACAGAAGATCTGCAGCACTGAATCTGGACTGACCTCTGATTCCCACAATCAGGATCCTCAGAGCCTCTACACGAGGAGCTGGAAGAGAAAGTGAAAGATGAAAATATCAGAAAATATTATTTAAATTGAAAGTGAATGATGTGCTAACTTTACAATGTTTGTATGACAAAATTGTTTATGTAAACCATTTTATGTTTAACACTCTGGTGCATGTTCATTTATTGCAATGTTTGATTATTTAGTTATTTTTGGTGGTTAAACCTACAAGCTGCCATTGACTTTACATTACAACCATGAATGCACCAGTATGTCCAGTACAGTGGACACATTTATTTTCAGTTATGGAAGGTTGACTACAAATATGATAATTAAAAAGGATCATGCAAGATGTTGTTTTAAGTAAAAGGAGATCAGATACACCTTTACATTACCTTCAACCTTTATAGATGTGATGTGAAATGCAAGAATCAGTGTGAGGATCCATTTAGGTGGTTTCCTGTTTAGTCTCATTTTTCAGCTTGGGAAATAAAGCCACTCTTACTCGCTTTCCAAAATCGGTGAATTTAATGTGCAATCGTTAGCATCGTTATTTCTTACAGTACGATCTTTCATTTAACAACACGACAGTGCAGCTGAATCCTAACTTGGTCTGTAAAGTGAAACTTTCACTTTTGTTTCCGCTTGCATGCTTCTATAATTAGCAGAGTCCCATTTAAAATGAGTAATGATGAAATGTACACACAAGGCAGAACAACTTCAGCAAGCTGGCTTTTAAACCAACTATTTTTAATGAGTCACCCCAGGCTGTTGAAACTGAAGGCACGGACGAGACGGAAAAGATTGACGCTACTCAAAAACCAATCAGAACGTTAATTTCAGCCGCGCGGCGTATTTCTCAACCAATCGGGTTTCCCGTTTTAGCTCAGGGGGCGGGACATAAGTGTGCCTTCTGAACGCTGCTTTTCCTACAGTAAGATTTTAGGGAAATATCAGTGTTTGACGATAGATATAATCGTATACTTACCGAAAAACACTGTAGGCTGTACGACAACCTTTTAGCAATCGTGTGATGTGTAGCTTCCCCCCGAAGGATATTTATAAGCAGCGCGATACTCTTTTGAATCAGTTATTTTTGAATAGTTTGATTCGGTTCGCGATTCATTCGGATAGTTCACTCACGGACTGAATCATTTCTAGCATATTCTTACAAGGTACGGGCTCTTTTTATACCCAATCATGTTGCCAATTGACCTAATAAGTTGCAAATTGGTCCTCCAGCTGTTCCTTATATGTACATTTAACTTTTCCGGCCTCTTATTGCTACCTGTCCCAACTTTTTTGGAATGTGTAGCTCTCATGAAATCCAAAATGAGCCAATATTTGGCATGACATTTCAAAATGTCTCACGTTCAACATTTGATATGTTATCTATATTCTATTGTGAATAAAATATAAGTTTATGAGATTTGTAAATTATTCCATTCCTTTTTTACTCACAATTTGTACAGTGTCCCAACTTTTTTGGAATTGGGTTTGTATTACTGCAACAGTAGGCTTTTTTAAACAACATTTTGAGTAATAGGTTTAAGGTTGTTTGTATTATATCACTATTAGAAAACACTTTGTGGTCATTATAGAACTGATACCATGATACCAAGCTCAAATTTAGCGGTACCCTTACGAAAAAGCAGTTTATTCAAGTGTGCTATTAGTATACTTCTTTTAAACAAAAAAAATAGGAAAGTATACTTTTAGTCTACTATTTCTGTACTTCTCAGACATGGGCTTTGTGTACTTCTCAGAAATATACTTAAAGTGGCATTTAAGTATACTTGACTTATACTTGAAAAAGTCTAAATTTGAGCTACTGTATACTTGTGCTCCTAGAATCCGTGTTTTCATTGTTATACGGTAGGGGGCGCTAGTACACATCTTCTGTACGGAATTTCCAAAAAACACAAGTGAAGAAGAAACCGAAACCACAGATGCTTCCACATGTAATCTACCACGATCATCAGACATAAAACAGCATCAAAACTGTGCAACGTTATGGAATAAAATGTCGACCAATGAAGAGGTACTAATGACCGTCAAGCTTTGGGGTGTTGATCGACTCCATCTACATTTTGATTATCATTCTGAATCCAATTCATAGGCTTTTTTTCAGCTTTTTGTTCAAAATGTTGTTTATTTCTTTATTTTTTATTAAATTTACCACATTCAAGTGTTTAAAAAAGAATGCATGAAGCTAGAATAAAATGTGTTTGTTTACAAGTAGATACCCTGTTCTTTCTTCCACATGCGTTGATCATTTCTCCAGCAATCCCTCTGGAAGCTCCTGTGAAACGTTCCTGCTGATTTTGGAGCAGAAGAACAATGCAGTACTGTAGGACTTCTGCTCCCAGCAGCTCCTGGGCTCGTTTCACAATATCACACTGTTGTGATTGTTGATCTTCCAGATTCAGGAACATTAAAACGGCGTGAGGTCCAGGAGACGAGAGAAACAGTGCTGTTGTGAAGGTCTGTCTCGCTGTGTCCTCCTCACAGAGGTTTGGTCCAGTGACCAGCATCATTCTACGAGCCTCGTCTGTGATTACTGGAGTCTTTACAATCTCTCTGTCCTCCTGTCCACCGTCTTTCCTTCCTGACAGAAGATCTGCAGCACTGAATCTGGACTGACCTCTGATTCCCACAATCAGGATCCTCAGAGCCTCTACACGAGAAGCTGAAAAGGAAAGTGAAACCATCAGTGTCAGTGGGGTAAGAAACACAAGCTAAAATATATTCGCTATTTATAAACAAATCATAATTTTTTTGCTTCTCAAGTCAATTTATCTTTGTTTTAATGGGGTCATGAATTGAGAAATCAAATTTTCGCTGATCTTTTTAATGTACAAGAGATCATTGTACTATAAAAACCGTTTCAGAGCTCAATACTTTAATCCAAAATAGCTGAAGTGACCAGCAGGAGAAAACAGGATTACTAGACTAAAAATAACATTTCTATCCATCAGAAGACAGTGACATGGCAAGTTTTTTGAGAAGCTCAAAGGGAAACTGGGCGTTATACTGTATACTATACTGTATCAATTAATAAAAGATAAGTTGCATTGGATAAAAGCATTTACCAAACATAAATGTCTTTTTTTTTTTTGATTGACATTTCTGCAAGAAATCAAGTTTACATTATAAAATTAAAAACATTAATTCCTGGCTAAATAGTAGAAGAGAGCAGATACTAACCTTCTGAAGATGAGATGTGAAATGCTAGAGTCAATATGAGCAGCCTGTTTAGTTTTGTCTTGGCTAATTTCATCTTTTAATGTGAGGTCTTTCTCATAGAACGAGTCACATTCAGTTGATTTCAAGTTGACAAAAGCGAACAAATCTGGGTTTGGCCTCCCAATGCTTGCGATAAACTTTCTTTATCAACTCAGGGGTTGATTGTGAGTTTATGATTAACTCTGGCTGTGAACCTCACACTTTCATGCACACACTGGTACATTTCCTCAGTTTAAACATTTGATATGCTTTCTATGTGCCATTGTGAATAACGTGTGTTTATGAGAGATTTGCAAGTCAGTGCATTGTGTTTTTATTTTACACAGCGTCCCAATTTGTTTGGAACTAGGGTTGTAATACCATTTGATGTGATGTTTAAAGAAAACAGCCATTTGAGAACAGGATTAAACACATTTAAGTTTTCTGCAAGAATATTTGAAGGATTTAAACACATTTACTCAGCAAGAAGAAATACTTAAGGACTGCTTGAAAGAAAAATAAGCAAGTGAATTTCTATAGTATATCGTTTTATTTGTGCACAACAAGCTTAAACACGTGTAATTTGAGTGATTCCAAAAGCTTAATATACTAAAGCTTATTTATGTTTTATGTATTTATACTAATAATCTTAAGTATACATTAGTTGCCAAAATATAGATATAAAATAACTCAATACACAGCAATGTGTTAATGAGCATTTCTGTATTCGATCAGCTCTTAATAGTCTTATATTACTTGTTAACATTTGTAAGTTTCATACACAAAATTGTATTTTTATTTGCAGTTAAATCTCCAGACAAGGTTAAATCACAACAGAAACATGATCTGAAAACTGCATTGGTTTGTTTGCAGAGCTGCAGAGGAGGTAAGTGGACATTTAACACATTCTCATCCAGAGATAGAGGGTCTTACCAACAATTATAAGTAAAATATATTAGCGCTGTTGTGAAGGTCTGTCTCGCTGTGTCCTCCTCACAGAGGTTTGGTCCAGTGACCAGCATCATTCTACGAGCCTCGTCTGTGATTACTGGAGTCTTTACAAACTCTCTGTCCTCCTGTCCACCGTCTTTCCTTCCTGACAGAAGATCTGCAGCACTGAATCTGGACTGACCTCTGATTCCCACAATCAGGATCCTCACTTCATCTTCATGAGAATCTGAAAGAGGAAGTGAAACCATGCAAAAAAAAAAATGTGCAAGTGGGGTAAAAAAAAAAATCAAAGATACAGTACAGTATGTTCTCTGAAAACAAGTCTTTAGTGGCATTGTTTTTTAAGGGCATTTCTATATTTTTGCTTGAAAAGAAGACATGCTGATTAAGAAAATCTCTTTGCAGTGCATCAATGATGCTAAATAACATTGATCCTTATGCAAAAATATGTGGTGTATGATTTACTTTACAACTACTGTCACTCAGAAATTGCTATTAAATTTCACAAATAATTTAAAAAAACCCTGCAAGCACATTAAATCACATTAAATTAAATGTGAAATTAGAAAAAAAACAGATATAGTATTTTCTTGTATAATGTAATCCAATAACTTCTTTTCCCTTTCGAACAGTCTCTCCCTTTGCGTATAACACATTGGGGAAAACTCCTGTTTTACTCTGTACTGAAGCCTGATTTGTTCACTTTTGTGTAGCTGCACAAACCAATGCTGCTTTAGCCCGCCAGAGAGTGCGGATCCGACCACTATATAAGTCGGCTCGGAGCGCTTTTCATCAGACCTTTCTCCTTCAGCGACGAGGATCATCTCTTCGCTGACTCTGTAAGGAAGCCGAAGAAGAAAATGAAGCCGAAGGAAGAAGCTCCACCTGCTCGCCACCGTCGAAGAGCCCCAGTAGAAAAGTTTTCCCTGCGGCCATCTGGCACTTAAAGAGTAAGAGCAAATTTCCTAAAAGAGCTCAGCGCGTGTTGTTGCAAATGTCGCGCCTCGAGTGTGGCTCATGCGCACAGTGAGTGTGTCGCCTGTCTGGGCAGCACGGAGCCATGTCGGCTCAGCGCCCGCGTGCCCCACCCTCCCCGAGTCCTCTCATCTCGCCGGTGTGCTTCACACAGGAGGACCAGCGCCCCTCTTCTGCTGCATGCAGCCTGGTCTCTTTCAGCACTTCGGAGGAGGACGTCGCTGTCGGTCCTTGGTGGCGTCAGACGCAGGAGCGTGGGAAGGTTCCATTGAGGAGCCCGAAGCTACTCCCTCTGCTCAAACCGTGAGGCTGAAGCCGGACGCCGAACTCATCCGCGTCCTTTGTCCTTTCTAAGGCTGTAGAGGACTTAGATCTTGAATAGTCGGCCCCAGAAGAGCCCGCCCACGGCCTATTGGACAAGTGGTTCCTTCCGGGAAGCCGTCAACAGTCCTCTCGTCAGGGGCCTGCACCCCCTATTCGGCCCGGGTTAACCCCTCTACAGCAGCAGCACTCACTTCAGTTGATGGCGCTGATGACAGAGGGTACAGCAGGCTTCCCCCTCTGGAAGAGGCGGCCGCTGCCCACTTATGCCTGCCATTTGCCCTCGGTTTGAAGGCCCATGCAGCGTATCCCTCCAAGCCCTGCAGGACCATCTCGGCCATAGCCAACAGGATGGACGAGTCAGGCCAACAGCACCAGGAGGCTTTTAAAGAGCTGCACACAGCGACAGACCTGGCTCTGCACGCAACGAAAGCAATGACGCAGGCAATCTGCAAGACGATGGCCAGTTTGGTTGTGTTGGAGCGCCACCTCTCGCTGAATTTGACTGAGATCAGGGATGCTGAGAAAATGCCCTTCCTCGACTCGCCAGTCTCACCGAAGGGCTTGTTCGACCCCGCAGTGGACAGGTTCACGGAGCGTTTTTCTGAAGCTCAGAAGATGTCGCAAGCGCTGCGTCACTTCCTCCCTGCTAGTCGCCAGAAGACTCCCGCAACTCAGCCTGCAAAGCCAGTGCAGCCTTAGTCACAGCCGCAGCGGAAGTCCAAGTCCGGGCTTCAGCAGCGCCCCCGAACAGTGAAATGCTTCCCCTTCCCGAAGCGTCAAGGTCCCCGCCCTCGAATAGTGCTGGACCCTGAGCCTCCTAAGCCATCCTGATCCAGCAGAGAGGAAGAGGAGGGGCTCAGTTCTCGCCTCGGCCAGAACTCCCCCGAAGACAGCTCGCTTTCACACTCCATCCCTCCGAGTACCTCTGAGCAATGGAATTTTGCCCTCCGCGGGTCACGTCCTGCAGGTGTAGCGTGTACCCGAATGTTTTACCACTGTGATAGCAGACCCACATACTCATAAGAGCAAATTTCCTCTTCACACTCTCTCACTCACGAATTCTGGCTCCCTGCCCTCCCGCGACGATCCTTTATTCGAAAAAATAGATCCTCTCACATCCCGGCTATCGGCCTGGGCAGCCATACCGGACGTGTCGAGTTGGGTTCTAAACAAAATTCAACGAGGCTACTCGCTTCGGTTCGCTCGCAGGCTGCCTCGCTTCAGAGGTATTATTCAAACTTCTGTCTCGGACAACAAAGGTCATGTTCTCCGACAGGAAGTGCGGACACTGCTTGCAAAAGATGCAGTGGAGATAGTACCACCAGAGAAGAGCGAGTCAGACTATTTCAGCCACTACTTCCTCGTCCCAAAAAGAGATGGCGGACTCAGACCCATTCTGGATCTCAGGCATTTGAACCACTCGCTTATGCGCCGGCCGTTCAAAATGTTAACTGTCAAACAGTTCCTCGCGCATATTTGCCCCGAGGACTGGTTTCTGGCAGTGGATCTGAAAGACACATACTTTCACATCCACATAGCCCACCATGACGGACCATTCTTGAGATTCACATTCAAGGGTGTGGCCTATGAGTGTGCAGTCCTTCCGTTTGGACTGTCCCTGTTCCTCGCGCACATTTGCCCCGAGGACTGGTTTCTAACAGTGGATCTGAAAGACACATACTTTCACATCCACATAGCCCCCCATGACGGACCGTTCTTGAGATTTGCATTCAAGGGCGTGGCCTATGAGTATGCAGTCCTTCCGTTTGGACTGTCCCTGGCCCAACATACTTTTACGAAGTGCATAGACATGGCTCTTTCCCCTCTGAGACAGATGGGAATCCGCATATTGAACTACCTTGATGATTGGCTGATTCTAGCCAGATCAGAACGGGAACTGGTCGCTCACAGGACGCTGTTGCTCAGGCACTTAGAGCGCCTCGGGTTGAAGATCAACCCGCAGAAGAGTCAGTTGTTGCCCAGACAGCAGGCTGTCTTTCTGGGAATGACTTTAGACTCTGCTCGAATGCGAGCATGGATCACGCCGGAACGATCCCTGACCATTCAGCGATTGGCGGCATCCTTCAAACCTGGGACGACAAGTCCTTTGAAGGTTTTTCAGAGGCTGCTCGGTCTCATGGTGGCCGCCGCCTCTGTGATACCTCTGGGCCTGCTCTATATGTAGCCACTTTTAGCTCAAAGCCTGTGTTCCACCCCACGCCTGACACCTGGGACGGCTTCGTGTCAGGATAGACCATTGCTGTATCAAAGCTGTGGTTCCCTGGACAACCCCCCACCTGTTTCAAACAGGCGTGCAGTTGGGTCTGACCTCCAGAAGGAAGGTGGTTACAACGGACGACTCCAACTCGGGTTGAGGCGCCCTGTTGGAGGGCAATCTGGCGTTCGGCTCCTGGTCAGCCCCGGAGCAATGCCTACATATCAACTGCCTAGAAATATTGGCGGTTTTCCTAGCCCTGAAAACCTTCCTGCCGACCTTGAAGGGGCACCACGTCTTAGTCCGGTCAGACAGCATGACAGTGGTGGCTTTTCATCAATCGCCAGGGCAGGCTCAGATCATACTCCCTTTACAGGATGGCTCGACGCCTCCTTCTATGGGCACAGAAAGAACTCCTCTTGTCAAGGGCGGTTCACGTTACGAGCAGGTTGAACCTTAGCGCAGACATGCTGTCCAGAGGCAATGTAGCCCCAGGCGAATGGGTGCTACATCCTCAAACGGTTCTGAAAATCTGGGCTGTCTTCGGGAAGGCAGAGGTCGACCTCTTCGCCAAACGGTTCTGAAAATCTGGGCTGTCTTCCGGGAGGTCGACTTCTTCGCCTCAAAATACAAGTCTCACTGCCCAACATACTTTTCGAAACAGCGAGATGCTCTGCCCCACAACTGGCACAGTGCTTGCCTTTATGCTTCCCCCCCGATCGCCCTGATTCCTCAGGTCAGGCGGGTCAGGGAGACCAAGTGCTCACTCCTAGTGGCCCCGCTCTGGAGAAACCAAGCCTGGCTCCCAGAGCTAGTGCAGCTCTCAGCAGCAGCCCCATGGCCCATTCCGCTGAGGAGGGATCTTCTCTCGCAGGCGAAAGGCCTGATTTGGCATCCCTGGCCGGAGCTGTGGAGCCTTCATGTATGGTGCCTCAACGGGAGCCTAATCAGCTCCCAGCGAGAGTTATCAATACCATTTTAGAGGCCAGAGCGCCATCTACAAGATGCTTTTACAGCCAAAAATGGTTGGTCTTCCTTAACAGGTGCTCTGCACATAGTCTGAACCCGGTATCATGTAAAGTGTCCCACGTGCTAACCTTTTTACTGGAGCTGTTGGATAAGGGGTGCCCCTTCCACGCTCAAAGTGTATATGGCAGCTATCACAGCGAACCATTCTCTCAAAGCTAGCCAATCGATCAGCAGAAACAACCTGGTCGTTAAGTTCTTGAGAGGCGCTCGGTTAAGCGAGTGGGTGACTTGCAAGCGCTGTCATTTAGCGCCTCATGTCTTGAGTTTGGACCTAACGACTGTAAGGTCATCCTGAAACCAAAACATGGTTATATTCCTAAAGTGCTCTCGACTCCGTTCTGAGCACAGGTGATCACCCTGTTGGCGCTCCCCGTTACAGATGCTGAGCAGGGTACTAACTTGCTCTGTCCAGTAAGGACACTGAGAGTGCAGCTCTCAGCAGTCAGAGAAGCTCTTTGTTTGCTTTGCAGGCCGCCAGAAGGGACTGCCGGCCGCAAAGCAGTGACTCTCTTGCTGGATTGTAGATGCGATAGCCTTGGCTACAATGCCCTATAGGTGTGAGGGCCCACTCCACAAGGGGGATGTCCTCCTCCTCGACATGGTCCAGTGGGATTTTTATTGGTGAGATTTGTGCGGCTGCCGACTGGTCGTCACTGTCCACATTTGCCAGATTTGTCCCAGCACTACAGGCACGGATTCTCTCTGTTTAGACTGCCATTCTTCCCCCTTGGGCGAAGTTCTTTATATTTGTGCTTATCAGCTACTAGCTTGTAGCACAAAGTGTGCTCATGTTCTTGGGAGTCCTTGTCTAGTGCTCCGAGACTGGGCTCGCAGGACCTATTGTTCTGTATCTGATCATAGCGCAGTGATTGGACACATTCCCCAATGCGTTATACGCCATGGGAGAGACCGTTCGAAAGGGACCGCTCCGATTACTAACGTAACCTCGGTTCCCTGAGATAAGGGAACGAGCGTTGCGTCACTTGCCGCACTCTAAACTGCACGTGAATCGATGACTGTCGCTTCAGTCGAATGATCTGATGAATGGCGCTCCGAGCCGACTTATATAGTGGTCGGCTCCACCCTTTCTGGCGGGCTAAAGTGCCATTGGTTTATGCAGCTACACAAACGTGAAGAAATCAGGCTTCAGTACAGAGTAAAACAGGAATTTTCCCCAATGCGTTATACGCAACGCTCGTTCCCTTATCTCAGGGAACCGAGGTTACGTTAGTAACCGGAGCATTTTATTTACTGCTTAAAAAAAATCTGTTTTTACAGTGTGTATGTCACTGCAAGCTTGCTGAACAGCTGAAAGGGAAAATGAAACTAGCTGTGTGAATTAGGGCTGGGCAATATAGATAAATATATAGTTTTTAGCCTTTTGCTGATATACAGTGTCTCTGTTTTTGTATTTGCTCAAAATTATTTGAAAGGTTGTAGTTTTTAAATCAGAGGAACAATCATGGTGTTAAAATGCCATTATTGTGGGTTCAATTACCAGAGAACACATAAACTAATAATAAGTCATATTAGATAAAAGCATCTGCCAAATGCATAAATGTAATGCATTGTAATTAAAGTTTGCGCAGGAATTATAGTCAAATTAATTAAAATAAAATCTCATTATTAGCTAAATAGTAGAAGAGAGCAGATACTAACCTTCTGAAGATGAGATGTGAAATGCAAGAGTCAATATTAGAAGCCAATTTGATTTTCTCTTGGCCAATTTCATTTTTTAACCTGGTCTGTCTGTCTCTTGAAGCGAGTCACTGAGTTAGTTTCGACTTGACAAAAACAAACGAATCCAAGCAAGATTCTGCGGTTAATGAAAGGGTTCATGTCATGCTTGATTTATTAAATTTTTTCCCCCTGAGGGCAACTTACAATGTTAGTAAAATTGTTTTGCACCAAAACAGTCATAATTCAGCAATAATTGACCATTTCCACTCCGTCTCTGACCATCCAAAAGAAAAACACGGTTTAGGAGCTGCTTTCTCCTTTAAGACCTTTAAAACATCTTTACATAAGAAATAAGTATCAACATGCCCAACCACAGCATGTGTGTGAGATTGCAGAAAATCCCGTGAAAGAGTGAAAAACAGGAGGATATGTTTAACCAAATCATTCACAAAGACAACAAACCAAAAAAAACATCCAGGCATTCACGACACTAATTAAAAACTGAATGACACATTTTATGTGAAACACTTTATAAACCCTTATAAATGTTCGACTTAACATTGAAGAAACACAGTTTACACACTGTAGCTCCCAAATACCTGAGTTATTATAAGTGGTTTTGTAGAACATAATTAAAATACTCTTAAGAATCAACAATATGACTTGGCATAGTTATTGAAAGCTGACAGCAGTAAAAATTAATCCAGAATGATTCTAGACTTCACTAGATCTTCGTATGCTTTATAAAACACTTATTATGCAGCAATATGTACTATAGTATTTTATTAGCTCTTAATAATCTTGATGATGGAGATGCATGATTTAGTGGGTTCTGATATGAAACTGATGAACAACTACTATTTGTTAAGAAATATTTGCATGTTTTATACTTTCTGTTTTATGTTTATTTGCAGTTTAATCTCCAGATGAGAACATCTGATCTGCACCGCTGGTTAAAATCATCTGTATTATTTCCAATAAAACTGCATTGGTTTGTCTGCAGAGGAAGTAAGTGGACATTTAGCAGATGTCTTTATCCAGAGCGACTGCAGACTGTTACAGTGATTGTCTTCGTTCATTTGTCCAGCTGATGTTTCAGTAGATGGTAGCAACTGCTATGCTACTAGCAAATAAGATCTAAACAATGAGTGAATATTAAATAATGAATGGTTAAAAAAAAAGAATATAAATGCATAACAGGAGAATTCAGTAATTTCTGTTTTATTTATGCAAAATTATGTATAAAGTGTCAAAATATTCTTTAATATGTTTATTTACATACATAACATGCTTACTATGAAAATAGCTTTAGCAAGACAAATGAATTAACCATATTATTCCAGTAAAACATTTTTTTTGTTTTTTTTAAATCCACCTCAGAATACTATTAAACACAATACATCATTTGAATTGTGGCATAAATGACATTGTGAGGTAAATGTTCAGGATGTTACATAAATAATAACAGGAATTTCCTGTGATACATGTATACCTAATATTAATCATTTGTCAGTAAACTAATTAAATAAACTAGTGTGAAAAGTGTGTTGTAAGACAGAATATTATCTGAAAGTATCGGCATTAAAGGATTAGTTCACTCCAGTATTAAAATTTCCTGATAATTTACTCACCCCTGTGTCATCCAAGATGTTCATGTATTTCTTTCTTCAGTCGAAGCATTTGTGGTTACAAAATATATAAAAAAAAAATTTTTTGAAAATTTAAATTTCCTCATTTATTCCTCGGCTGGGATTGTGTAGAGCCCTTTGAAGCTGCACTGAAACTGCAATTTGGACATTCAACCCAGTAGTCCCTGTTGAAGTCCACTATATGGAGAAAAATCCTGGAATGTTTTCCACAAAAACCTTAATTTCTTTTCGACTGAAGAAAGAAAGACATGAACATCTTGGACGACATGGGGTGAGTAAATGATCAGGAAATTGTTATTCTGTGGTGAACTACTCCTTTAATTTGTTTAGATCCAAAAACCTGTCAGTGTCTTTTGATTTAGTCACTATTACCGGCTTCAAATTACTGTAAAAATATAATGAAATAATGTACAGCATATAAATGAAATTAAAGAACCAATAAATACACAACAGCATGGAAAAATCAGGAAAAAAATCAATTTCACAGCATCACTCTTTAAATGGAAAAACGCTTTTGTAAATCCTAATATTAGCAGAAATATTGCGGTCTCCACACCAAACAGAGCAAATACAGTCACAAACCCCATTGAGAGCGTCACTCCAACGAAACAAAACAGGAATAACTTGAATGCAAAGACTAGAGTTGTCCGAGCTTGCATTTGATCTGGTATAATGGAGTAAATAGTGTATAAATGAGCCCCGAATGTGACCCCGGGAGCAGCATGGCACGCTATAAGCACATCTGACCACGTCTGTACACTGACAGCTGTTCCTACAGTCAGTCCTAGACCTGCTATGAACACTATACTGGGAAATGTAAAGATCATGACTAAAAACATTATGATTTGGTGTGCATGTCGTGAATTTGCAAAGTCGTGATACGCAGCGGCTACGGTGGAAGTGGAGGATAGGATCAAATTTAAAGGAACGGCAACATCTGGATTGAGAATATTTCTTAAAGTGACCATAAAAATAACAAGTGCGAATAGTATTTCCGCAAATTTAAAATGCTCATGCCTTACTTTAGTAAAAATAAAAGCGGTGTTCAGTAAAATGAGTAAAATCCATCGTGCAGTTTCTGCTGAATTGTCATGTTTTTCAGAGAGAATTTGATTTTGTTCATGCACGTCTTGAATGGTTTCTTCTGTTTCTAACTTTTGTGTCAATACTGAGTGAAATCTGTGATCATTGAGCCAAACTAACTTCTCTATTTGTGCTACGAGAGCTGCTCTTCGAGCAGGTTTTGCTTCAGAGTCTCTTATGACGTGAAATCGTCCTCCACATGCGTTGATCATTTCTCCAGCAATCCCTCTGGACGCTCCTGTGAAACGTTCCTGCTGATTTTGGAGCAGAAGAACAATGCAGTACTGCAGGACTTCTGCTCCCAGCAGCTCCTGGGCTCGTTTCACAATATCACACTGTTGTGATTGTTGATCTTCCAGATTCAGGAGCATTAAAACGGCGTGAGGTCCAGGAGACGAGAGAAACAGCGCTGTTGTGAAGGTCTGTCTCGCTGTGTCCTCCTCACAGAGGTTTGGTCCAGTGACCAGCATCATTCTACGAGCCTCGTCTGTGATTACTGGAGTCTTTACAATCTCTCTGTCCTCCTGTCCACCGTCTTTCCTTCCTGACAGAAGATCTGCAGCACTGAATCTGGACTGACCTCTGATTCCCACAATCAGGATCCTCAGAGCCTCATCACGAGGAGCTGGAATAATGTGTGAAGCCAATCGCTGTGAATCGTTCCTGGTGATTTTGCAGCAGAAGAACAATGCAGTGCTGCAGGACTTCTGCTCCCAGCAGCTCCTGGGCTCGTTTCACAATATCACACTGTTGTGATTGTTGATCTTCCAGATTCAGGAGCATTAAAACGGCGTGAGGTCCAGGAGACGAGAGAAACAGCGCTGTTGTGAAGGTCTGTCTCGCTGTGTCCTCCTCACAGAGGTTTGGTCCAGTGACCAGCATCATTCTACGAGCCTCGTCTGTGATTACTGGAGTCTTTACAATCTCTCTGTCCTCCTGTCCACCGTCTTTCCTTCCTGACAGAAGATCTGCAGCACTGAATCTGGACTGACCTCTGATTCCCACAATCAGGATCCTCAGAGCCTCTACACGAGAAGCTGGAATAATGTGTGAAGCCAATCATGCAAAGCAAGAACAATTGAGTAAAAAAAGGTATTCTTTGAAAACAAGCCACCAAAATACTGACATTAACGAGCATTACCTTCTGCTCGTACAGTGTGAAATAGCAGAATCAGTGTGAAGAGCAAGATGGGTTTTGTGTTGGGCAATTGCATCGTACAACCTAAAGCCAAATAAATGTAGCCCGTTACTCAAGTTACCCTATCAACAAAACTAAGAATAGAAATAAGTTTTTACTTACAACCAGTTATATGTGTAGTTCTGTCCTGTCTTTTGTTTGGCTAAAACAACTATGCTCCACAAGTCAGAGTAGATATTAAACCAAGTTATTTGGAAAAGTCAGTGCTCCAGTCTGTGACTAGTAGGTCGCATTTTGCAAGGGTTTTTTTCCCAGTGAGACTTGTGTTAGCGATCGAACGGGTGCCAGATAGGCGCTGCGATTTGTGTTGTGTATGAGAAGCATTTAAACAGCAAAAGCGGAACGAAACCGCATAACTTTGAACCGGAAGAAAGCGCAGCGCAAATACTGACCGCTATCAGTCACGTGACAGTTATAAACAGAGCTGCGAGGTCCGGTGTGAAGCATCTGAGACTAAAACTTGAGCTTGAAACCAGATGAAACCGCGCTGAGATTCTCAACATCCCTGACGTGTAAAACAGGAGAAACACTGTGTAGAAACGATCCCGTTTAAATCCACAAATTACTAACATTTAGAAAGGATTAAGTGTAATCACATAAACTCTAATTATGGTATTATGGCAGAAAGGTGGGGATATTACTAACGCATTATGAATGTAGACGTGTTTTAAATGGTTTAAAGCAGTAATGCAATTAGCCTGCAGTGTTTTTGTTGCTGTTAAGCTGTGCATTTGTAGCCTATTTATAACTAGGCCTACTGTTTTTCATTACAAATACCATTGAAACCATCTTACCGTGGTATTTAGGCGCCATCCCTTATGAAAATTAATCATGGTTTTATTGTAGTAATTTGTGTAATAACCATGTTTTTTTGTGTTTTGCCGTATTGATTCAAAATTGTATTAGCACAGTTTTACTATAATACCATGGTTAAGCTATGGTTAGTGTAGCAAAACCATGGTTCATTTGTGGTTATCATGGTTTAAATTTTTTTTTTGTAGTAAATTCATGGTTTATTTTAGTCAGGGATGCATGGTTCATGATCTACAAATGTATGATATTATGTGGTTTTATTGTAGTAATTTGTGTAATAACCATGTTTTTTTGTGTTTTGCCGTATTGATTCAAAATTGTATAAGCACAGTTTTATTATAATACCATGGTTAAGCTATGGTTAGTGTAGCAAAACCATGGTTCATTTGTGGTTATCATGGTTTAATTTTTTTTTTTGTAGTAAATTCATGGTTTATTTTAGTCAGGGATGCATGGTTCATGATCTACAAATGTATGATATTATGTTTATAAAAGTAAAATCCTAATTCAGTCAGTCAGAATATGTAAATTTCACCCCATAAAATTAAGTTGTTGCAATTTTTTCCTTTGGTGTAAATAACAAGAACAGTAAGTGAAAGTAGGAAACATCATCATGAGAAACTGAAATAGAAAGTGATTTTTAACTGGTAAAAAATCCAGTTTTGCCCAAAAACTCCTGTCTCACATGTGATCTTCTGTTAATTATGGAAGGCCGGCAAGGACAAAAGTTTTTAAGCAGAACGCGTGGAATTTGACCGTGTCAACACACACTGTTTCTCCGCCTTAACGCAACCACAAAGCAGCCAATGAAATCACTGCATTTGAGAATATTTTTGCATATGTGACACAATGGTACGTTGGTATATATGTATACAATCATCAGACATCATGTTTAATCATGAAGGATGTAGTAATGGTAAACTGGTATGCACGTATGCAAACATCAGACATTATATTTTAATACCGCCAGAATGCGTGTCTACACATACAAAAGATATGCATTCAAAATTGCGGACAAACAGTGCATGTTGACACGCTCGAATTCCATGCATTCCATTTAAAGACTTTTGGCCCCGTCTGCTTCCATAGTTATTTCCAGTATCCCTTCTCGCATGTGTTTGGTTGTGAAACGTATTTTGTAGACCAGAGAGTTGTCAACGATTCTTCCTATTGAAAAGTTGTGTAATGTGTGACATCCCCCTGACACTGATCTTTTGTGTAATGTGCACACAACAGCAAATAATGGCACCCCAGTCACTCGTGTAGTGTGAGAAGAACAGCGACCCAATGACTTTAAAAATTGTGTGTGCAGTGTGAACACGGCATAAAAGGGAAAATTAAAACTGTGAATTAGTGCGGGGTACTATATACTGTAGGAACAACTGTATCAACAGATAAAAAAATTGCATTGGATAAAACATTTGCCAAATGTATAAATGTAACTAGTTTTTGATAATATTAAATGGCAAAATAGTGGATGAGAGTGGATACTAACCTGAAGATGAGATTATAGAGTCACTATGCCTATTTAGTTTTGTCTTGGTTAATATCATCATTTAATCTCAGATCTTTCTCACAAAGCAAGTCACATGTAGTCAATTTCAAGTTGACAAAAGCAAACAAATCTGGGTTTGGTCTCACAATGTTTGGTATAAACTTTATCAACTTGAGTTAAAAAGAGAACGGCTTCCAGGAGATTTGTGAGTTGCTCAGTTGTGACGTTTTGTTTTATTTGATCCTCTTCAGGGGTTTTCTGAACTGTATTATCAGCATTAAAGAACCCAATAGTAATGCTGGATAAAACCAGAAAGAACTTAGGAAGTATTCCATATATACTTTAAGCAAACTCAACAACATCTCTAATATCAGAACAACTGAAGCAGTAAACACAAAACCACATGGAACCAACAAAGTCGATTGCAGTGTCCTGCATGGTGGGCTCTAATTTGAACACTGCAATTGCAGTCATGATTATTAGCAGAATTATTGTAAGCATCACTCCAAACAGTGCATTGAGCACATTCACTCACAGCACTGTGAGTTCAGCACACACTGCACAAAACAGAAATAATAGCAATAATTCTCTGACATTTAGTTTTTGGAGATCCAATGATGAATTTAAGAATTCATAAGTTCCAATCGTGACTCCAAAAGCAGCACAACATGCAATAAAAACATCAGACAAAGTCCTTATGCTAGTGATTGATCCAAGGGTTATTCCTAAACCTACTGTAAATATAAACTCTGTTCCGATTTTTTCTGTTACTTGACTTGCGCATTGGTAGATACTTTATAAAGGCAGCCGCAACTGTGGAGCACAGAGCCAAATTTAGTGCAAAAGCAACATGTGGACTCAAAGCATTTCTTAAAGATGCCATAAATGTCACGAGTCCAGCTAAAGATGCCACAAAAATTAACATTGTGTGCTTTTGTTCTGTAGCCAAAACAACCGCAATCAGTGAAATGATCAGACTCCATCCGACCACTCCTAAACTGTCACGCATTGCAGATGAGACCTGACTTTCTCCAAGTTTGTCGTCTATTTCTCTTAGTTTTTTTAAAAGCTCCATCCTTTCTGACCGTAGCTGTTGTGTCAATACTGAGTGAAATCTGTAATCATTGAGCCAAACTAACTTATGTTTTTCTGCTACGAGAGCTGCAGTTTTACAAGGTGTGTTTGAGCTAAGAATCTGACGTTTTCCCTCAGGTTTTAGATCTGCTGAATATGCAAAGTTTTCCATAAAATTCATTCTTTATGCCTCTTTCTATGCTGAGTTAAACTTTAACCCTTTCCTATACCAACTGTATGTGTGTGTGTGTGTGTATGTGTATGTTAGACCAGTTTATGTGTGTATGTAGGATGTTAGACCAGTTTATGTGTTTATGTAGTATGTTAGACTAGTTTAAGTGTTTATGTAGTTAATAAAACCTTACTTGTATCACACTTGACGTGTTCATTGTTTGCTCATAACCGGAGTCAATAATGATGCAGATTTACGTTACAAGCTTATAGAATTGTACAGTAAGAAAGTTATTTCCCTTAACCAGGAAATTAACATTCTTAGAATTGACAAGACAGTTGACCCTGAGTGGTCAGCTAAATATCTACAGCGGATCTAATATGAATAGTTAATTATTCATATTTCCCCATGAGCTGATTCGCTACAAGAACAATGCAGTACTGCAGGACTTCAGGACCATTAAAACGGCGTGAGGTCCAGGAGACGAGAGAAACAGCGCTGTTGTGAAGGTCTCGCTGTGTCCTCCTCACAGAGGTTTGGTCCAGTGACCAGCATCATTCTACGAGCCTCGTCTGTAATTACTGGAGTCTTTACAATCTCTCTGTCCTCTTGTCCACCGTCTTTCCTTCCTGACAGAAGATCTGCAGCACTGAATCTGGAGTGACCTTTGATTCCCACAATCAGGATCCTCACTTCATCTTCATGAGAATCTGGAAGAGAAAGCGAAACCATCAGTACCAGTGGGTACTCAGAGTAAAACAGGATTACTAGATTAAAAATAAAATTTTCTTCCAAATGATCCTAATGTTGGGACAGTGGCAATTTGATTTTCAACTATGTGAATGTATCTGCTGAGAATTATTTGTTTGTTCAGAAAAAAATCATTGATGGCAAACATAATTAGTTCTGATGTTAAAACAGAGGCATGGCAAGTTTGAATGGGAAAATGAAAGTTAGGGCTGGACATATATTGTCACGGTTGCACTACTGAGTGGAATGCGGAGCAAGGAACAGAGGGAGACAAGGAGTACATCAATCCAGAGAACTAATTATAACAAGGAAAACTCACGTAGCACATGAAAACATAAACAATACTGGACGCCGAACTGATAACAAGGAACACTATTTATACAAATGACATGACGATGGGATAATGAGACACACCTGGGATCAATAGAACTGAAAAGGGAACACCTGGAACAGATAAGGACAGGAACGGGAAGGACCCAGGGCAGTGCCCGTTCCAGGACCCATGGAGGATCTGGCAATTCGAAGCGCCATGGCAGAGCAGGCAGACTCGGAGGCCATGGCGGAGCAGGGAACTCAGGGCCATGGCGGATCAGGGGACTCGGGGAGCCATGGTGGATCTGGCAGCCCAGGAGGCCACGGTGGAGCAGGTAGTTCTGGAGGCCATGGCAACGCAGCCTCCGAGGCCGTGGCCCCAGCCCCGGTTTCTATGGCTGGAACCCTACTACCCCCCCCCCAAAAAAAATACTTGGTTACGCTTATGGGTTCGAGACCCCCCGTGGGCAATAACAGGAGACTGGAGCCCTCCCTGGGATGAACTGGGGATCAGGAGCCCGTCCTGGGCTAAACGGGGAATCAGGAGCCCTTCCTGGGCTAAACTGGGGGACAGGAGCCCTCCCTGGGCTTAACTGGGGGACAGGAGCCCTCCCTGGGCTTAACTGGGGGACAGGAGCCTGTGCTGGGCTTAACTGGGGATCAGGAGCCCTCCCTGGGCTTAACTGGGGATCAGGAGCCCTCCCTGGGCTTAACTGGGGATCAGGAGCCCTCCCTGGGCTTAACTGGGGATCAGGAGCCCTCCCTGGGCTCAACGGGGGATCAGGAGCTCTCCCTGGGCTCAACGGAGGATCTGGAGCCCTTCCTGGGCTCAACTGGGGATCAGGAGCCTGTGCTGGGCTTAACTGGGGATTAGGAGCCCTCCCTGGGCTTAACTGGGGATCAGGAGCCCTCCCTGGGTTTAAATGGGGATCAGGAGCCCTCCCTGGGCTCAACGGGGGATCAGGAGCTCTCCCTGGGCTCAACGGAGGATCTGGAGCCCTTCCTGGGCTTAACTGGGGATCTGGAACCCTCCCTGGGCTTAACTGGGCAACTGTGAAGTGCTTACGCGGAGCTGGCACTGGAGGGCGCTCTGGAGGAGCAGGAACAGCAAGATGCTTTTGAGGAGCTGGCACTGAAGCAAACTCAGGTGCTGGAGCCGACACTGGAGCGAGCTTTGGGGCTGGAGTCAACACTGGAACGAGCTCTGGGGCTGGGGCTGACACGGCAAGCTCTGGGGCTAGGATGAAGGCAGAGAACAGTCCTTTTCTCCTCATCCTCCTCCTTTGGTTATGGGGGAACTGTGCAGCTGGCGGGCTTATCGTTGCAGTGACCGGTGGGCTTGCGTCAATGGCGGCCGGCGGGCTTGACATTGCAGCGGAGAAGTCAAGGCGGTAAGGCGCGTCCCAATATTGGCTCCTATCTTCGGAGTGGCTGGCGGGCTTGAGTGTGCCGCCGCCGGCGGGCTTGACTCAGGGACAGCCGGCGGGCTGAAGGATGCCGCGGCTGGCTGAAGGATGCCGCGGCTGGCGGGCTTGACATCGGAACGGCCAGAAGACTGGAGAGAACCGCGGCCATCGGGCTGGTTCTGGCTCGGGGCCGGACACTCTCCATACACCGGAGGATCCCTTCCCTCCAGCTTAGTCCCGTGGTGTCTGGGAGGTCCACGGAGCGATGGTAATTGGCCCCGTGCCAGAACAGCGAGTTGATGGTGGCGTCATCTAAAGCCGTTGCCACGACGAGCCCGCAGAACTCCCAGGCATACTCGACAAAGGGGAGATCTCTGTGGGCTAGGGCTGAGAAACGTGCGGCAATTTCCATGAACACGGGGAGAAACAGGAAAAACTAAAATATTTTTCAAAAAATGGAAAAGAACCACGGGGAGAAGAGGCGCCACTCACTTTTTGTTTCAGGTCCGGTATTCTGTCACGGTTGCACTACTGAGTGGAATGCGGAGCAAGGAATGGAGGGAGACAAGGAGTACATCAATCCAGAGAACTTTAATTATTACAAGGAACAAGGAAAACTCTCGTAGCACATGAAGACATAAACAATACCGGATGCCGAACGGATAACAAGGAACACTATTTATACAAATGACATGACGATGGGATAACGAGACACACCTGGGATCAATAGAACTAAAAAGGGGACACCTGGAACAGATAAGGACAGGAACGGGAAGGACCAAATATGGGCATGGAAGGCACATGGGGAGCAAAACATACACAAAACACGGAACAAAGTGTGACATATATATTGTAGGTAAAAACTAAATCAGTGGATAAAAATAAATATGCATGGAATTTGTCGATTGTAAATGGTTTTTGATTGACATTTCTGCAAGAAATCAAGTCTACATTATAGTAAAATTAATAAAAACATTTAATTCCTGGCTAAATAGTAGAAGAGAGCAGATACTAACCTTCTGAAGATGAGATGTGAAATGCTAGAGTCAGTATGAGCAGCCTGTTTAGTTTTGTCTTGGTTAATTTCATAATTTAATCTCAGATCTTTCTCACAAAGCGAGTCACATTTAGCTGATTTCAAGTTGACAAAAACAGATCTGGGTTTGCTCTCACAATGCTCACTGTGAACTTTCTTTATCAACTCAAGGGTTGATTTGTGAGTTTATGATTAACTCTGGCTGTGAACCTCACACTTTAATGTGCACTGCAGCAGCATTCACTTCCCTGCTGAAGTTCAAGAGATCATTATTAAAATATGAATGATTTTATCTAATTTACAAAGTAAAAGGAAACACTGCAGCAGTGAAAGCTCAATAGGACCACTGAAAGAAATTTCTACAAGTATATCAATAAAAGTTAATTAAGTTAATTTATTAGTTCATTAATTTATAGGCCCACAACAAGCTTAAAATGTATAGTTTTATTTTTTCATTTTTAAAGTTTTTTTTATTTTTATTTATTTATTTTTTGCTACTGGAATTAGGCAATCAATCTGTACCAAGGTAAAGTACCACAGTATTACAATCACTGTACCATATACTGTCACAGCAGGCTTTTTGAAAGTTAATTTGAACAACTTTATATACTTAAGGTTGTTAAATATCTTTGCTTTTGTCATAAAATTATAGCACATCACTATTAGCCTATTTATAATATTCATTTAGCATACCCCTAAAAGTCATTTCTTGGTAAGAAACAGGTTAGTTTAATAAATGCCATGTCATTTCTAAAATGGTGCATAAACAACTGAAATATGTTTATTTAGTTTGTCATTTGTGATTTAGTTGATGCTTTTGCTGTTCCTCCAAATTACTGTTAACAATCCAAACAATAGTGCTACATAAAACTAGAACATGGCAAAACCAGTGTAAAAACAGTATAAGCAATTACATTTAAATTAAGATATACTATTGTAAATTTTAATATCTGCAGAATTTAAATATTTTTTTAAAGCGTAATATTATTATTATTATTATTCATTTGAGGCATTTGGTTGCACCTACATGAGATAACTTATACAATGTAATGTTAAATGCAAAGCGTGGAGTATTTTTTTTCTATTTTAATGTATGCAACATAGAAAAATTAATTATGATTTATGCACAATTATGCAATCAGTGTTAAAATATCATTTGTATGCATTTAAAAATTGTATGAAATTAATTTTAGTAACACAATGAATTGGCCATTTCATTCCAAAAACTAAAAGAAATAGGATAATGTTTTCTACCCCTGTATGAGATGACTAAAAAAATGACACTGTGATGATTATCTAATGTTGGATGTTTATTAGTAGACAAATAAACCTTCACACTCTTACTGGTTTGTTTTAAGAGTTTATTTTCTCAAGGTCCACATTAATGCCATTTATAAAACTAAAATGATAGAACCAATAAATACACAACAACATGGAAGTATCTGGATAAAAACTGCAAACAGCAACATGTCTGTCTTGAAATTAGCAGAATTATTGTCATCTTCACACCCAGCAGAGCAAACATCCACCAGAACACAGTTACCAACCCCATTGAGAGCATCGCTCCCACTGAACAAAACAGGAATGATTTAAATGCAATGTAGAGAGTAGTCTTGTCCTTCTTTTGATTGGATGAAGTTAAAATAGCGCCGAGTGTGATGCCACGAGCCGCATTACATGCTATGAGCACATCTGAACATGTCTTTATGCTGGTAATTTATGCAGGATCAGTCCTAAAGCTAATCCTAAAATAAAAAATACAAGTAAACCTATGTGACAAAAAATATATAATAACACACATTGAGCAAAGAGTCATATTTATTGGTACAGCAACATTTGGACTCAGATTATTTCTTAATGTGACCATGAAAAAAACAAGTACGCATAATATTGCTCCAAAATTACAAAATTCATGCTTTCCTTTAGTGAAAATAACAACAGCATTGAGTACAATGAAGAAATCCATCCTACAATTCCAACAGCTCCTCCTAAATTTTCATATATTCAGGCAAGACTGGATTTTCTTCATTTATATTTTTATTGGTCTCTTTTTTAAAGTTTGTTGTCTATTTCTAGTAGTCTTTGTAAAAGTTCCAGCTTTTCTGTTTCTAATTCTTGTCTCAATACTGAGTGAAATCTGTGATCATTGAGCCAAACTAACTTGTCTATTTCTGCTACGAGAGCTGCTCTTTGAGCAGGTTTTGCTTCAGAGTCTCTTATGACGTGAAATCGTCTTCCACATGCGTTGATCATTTCTCCAGCAATCCCTCTGGACGCTCCTGTGAAACGTTCCTGCTGATTTTGGAGCAGAAGAACAATGCAGTACTGCAGGACTTCTGCTCCCAGCAGCTCCTGGGCTCGTTTCACAATATCACACTGTTGTGATTGTTGATCTTCCAGATTCAGGAACATTAAAACGGCGTGAGGTCCAGGAGACGAGAGAAACAGCGCTGTTGTGAAGGTCTGTCTCGCTGTGTCCTCCTCACAGAGGTTTGGTCCAGTGACCAGCATCATTCTACGAGCCTCGTCTGTGATTACTGGAGTCTTTACAATCTCTCTGTCCTCCTGCCCACCGTCTTTCCTTCCTGACAGAAGATCTGCAGCACTGAATCTGGACTGACCTCTGATTCCCACAATCAGGATCCTCACTTCATCTTCATGAGAATCTGGAAAGGAAAGTGAAACTATCATGCAAAGAAAGAAAATGGAATAGGAATGGTATATTCTTAAAAAACAACAACAAAAAAAACAAGCATGATCTTGTGCAATTGACCTATCGGTAAGCCCCGCCCCCCTTAGTTACTGTTGCTTACTCTGACAAACTCTTACAATGACAGCTGTCTGTGAAAACCTTGTACCAAGATGTTTTTGATAAATTTTGGACACAGAAGGACCACCTCTCGTCAAGGAGCATTCAAGTGGGACTTAAATATGCCATGGAGAGATATATCAAATATTTTAAAATAAATATGGTGGGTAACAAGATTCATTTGGAAGTGAGGGTTTACCGATCACAATGCAAGCAGGTGAAGCCTCATGTTACGGTCGTCACGATCGCAGATGACAACATGCAGGATCAACAATGTTCATGTATCGCAGAATACGATTAAATACATTTACATTTAACCAGTTTAATATGGAGGGACACTGAAATGTAGACATTCGTTTATGTGTTTTTGACCTACACTGTACATGACGTGAGAACAGCTCACTATTTAGGTTTGTACATTAGCATGGACTCACTAAATTTAACGTTTGCTAGTTTTAGCCAGAGATAGCTTGCTGAAGCACAAGATAACATTAAAGGGGTCATATGATGCTTTTTTAAAGATCATTATTTTGTGTATTTGGTGTAACAGAATATGTTGACATGCTTTAATGTTCAAAAAACACATTATTTTTGAAATACTGTACATTATTGTAGGTCCTCTATGCCCCGCCTCTCTCAAACGCTTCGTTTTCTACAAAGTCCCTCCTTCCGACAAAGTAATCTTAAAGATTCCTAAATGCATCTACTTTCGGAAGGCCAAATAAAGTGCTTTTGCTTTCGCCTAGAAACACACAGCGTCTCCCTGACATGCTGCTTCAACACTAACTGCAGTTACTGAAACCACGCCATCTTTCTTTGCGTGCACATTTGGGCGGCATTATGCTAATATTTCCACATAGTGAGGTAGATATGTGGGGGTGTGTTAGAACGAGCCGTTTTAGAGGGGCGTGGCATTGTCTTTGATAAAGAATATCTCTTTGGTTTTGAGACTTTAGTCTTTGCAACTTCAGGGATCTTATCTATGCACAATCAGCTTGTAACACTCCAAAGAGAAAGAACAACTTGAAATCGCATCATATGACCTCTTTAACATTCTGCTTGAGCAGATGAAAATTGTAACTTAATGAGAGTATGACAACCAGAAAATGAACGTTGAATAATAAAATTAATTCCAAATTAGATTGCCTATCTGCTCGGGATACCTGGAATAAGTGTTACAAGTGGTACCCCAGGCACATCGTTTTACCATTTTTGTAGCATAAACACATGAAATCAATGAGAGCTTCGGATCTTCCAATGTTTCTCTGTGGCACTGAAACCTAAAGATGTCTGAGTTCCGCTCCAAGTGCAACTGATACTCGACTGCCATTGGCTCATCTACGTTCAAGGGGAGGGGCTTACCGATAGATTAATTGTTGCTTCTTAAAGGTGCCATAGAATACATTGATACAATATTTTAAATTGTTCTCTGATATCTACATAGAAGGTATGTGGCTTAGGTAAGGGCAACAAATCTCCAGAAATGGTTTTACATGTCCATTTACAACCCTAGAATTTGTCCCTAGAATGAAATGGTCTGTTTTTACCTTATTTGGAAGGGTCATGAATAATAATGTTGAGCTCTGCTCTGATTGGTTGTTTCACAGTGCGGCTCAATGTTGAGCTCTGCTCTGATTGGCTGTTTCACAGTGCAGCTCATTTCAGTAGCTCACACAGCAGGAAGGAAACACAGGGAAAATATATATTTCAATACTTTCTCTCGCAGTTATATCATTGGGTAATTATACTGTATATAAAATGCAGGCATCAGGGAGCCGCATAATGCACGATCGCTTTTTACTTTCACTTTCGAGATTTGCGATCGCACATGCTCAATGTAACAGGCTACCGCTATCAAGCAGCTAACCATGCCCCTTTAGTGGCTCACGTTATTTTATTAGAACGCGCATTATTTGTTTTCTGTGCCTTTCTGAATACAGACACCAACCCATCCCTCCACTTCACATCCCCTGCACAGGAACATAACATTTATTTCCATGATCTGCCATTTTCGCTATTATCCTCGCTTGTTTCTTCACAATACCTGCAGA